GCTTTTTCAAGGGGAGGGGACTCCGGGGTGGGTGAGCTACTTATAGTCGGTGAAAAGCTGGAGTGAGCGAAGTCACAACGGCCATAGAGTGCCATGCGGACGAGGGAGTGCAGAGAAAAAGAGAAGATCGACGCGTTTAAAGGGATTCAAGGGGATTGAGTTCACGTTGTCCGCAGACCCGACGACGCCCTCGAGACCCGCCCATGGCTGCTTCCCATCTGTGCCATTAGACCGTTCTGTAATAGTAGCGCGTCAACGACGCAATAATTTGAGCGTTGCTTTACCGGACCATTACGGCCAAGAAGGGGCATTTCACAAGCCCTTTTCGTCTTTATTACGCGTTTCTGGGCGAAGAACAATATCCTCTCTGCGGCTGCGGACCTATTATTGAGAACCCGGGGGGGGGGTGGAAGGTCCTCTCCGTCAGACAATCGTGGACGGTGTATTTAAACAGTAACCAGAAAGTGCGCGAAACACAAGATTTCCTTCGCAAATTCATGTACGACTATAATCCTGTCCTTAATAAAATGGCAATCATCTACATCCTATTTTAACGACGTGATATCACGGGGAATCAAAAAAATACTGATCACCCTCCACCGATACTTATTTGAAGTACAAACGAACAAACCAGGTAGGAGTAATATTATAGTAACGCACCTGTGAACCAGGAAAACCTGATAATCCATATGTAGGATCAGGATTAGGAACATTACAGCTTGTCTTTGGTAGAGGAGCGTTAGTACCAGATGCTAGATTCAACGATGGGGTAGCAGTTGCAGCAGTACTCGTACTGGACGATGCTTTCTTTCCACGACGCATTGCAGTCACTGTCTGCTGTAAGTGGAACTTCTATAATATGAACGAGACATGCTATAAACATCAAAAACAAAAAGCACGCTTAACTGTGAGGTGTATCCTTGGCATGTGCAGGGTTGACAGGCCCCACCTGTCGAAGAGTGGTGGCCCGCCCGAACATGCACGCACATACCATGGGATAGGCCAATTCCTCCATGCTCTGCTTTAAAAGCAACCTACGCTGAGGGCACACTGCACGCACCTACCACACATATCTCGACCTCGTCTGTTTCATGCGGCTTATGCACAACGCGTGTCACACTTGCCAAGTCTCGTGTTCGCACTTCCGAATGCGATTGAAACGCAAACTTCTGATGTAGATGGCAACTGTGGCGTTGCTCATGCTACAAACTCTGAATCAGATGATTACGAGGGTCTGAATGGGAGAGCACCCATATTGCTTATGCAGTCTAGTTGCTCTTCAGTTCTAGCTCTCATCATGCGATTCAGAATTCGCATTACAGCAACTCCTCAATTGCAATCCGCATCAGAAGTTTGCGTTGCAATTGCAATTGAAAGCGGAAATTGCGAGACTTGGCAATGTGCCGGAAGCGCCGCGCGCGACACGCGTTGTGCGGATGCCGGTTGGAACAGATGAGGTCGGGATATGTTAGCGGCGTGCAGCGTGTCTAGGGTGCAAGTTGCTTTTAAAGCGAAGTACGGAGGAGGAATTAGCCTGTATCACAGTCCTGCAACTCCAGCCTCGTGCATGTTCGCAAGAAGAAAACGCTATGCTCCGACAGATGGGGGCCTCTTAACCGTGTACATGCCAAGTATAAACTTCGGATGAGCGCGCGCTTTGCCTCAAAGATATATACGTGTTTACAGAAAAAATTACTTTTGCCGACGTGGTGGGAGTGGGCGGTGGTGGAGGAGGAACAGGCGGACTACCTTTGTCGGTTTGTGGAACAGTACCAGTGGGCAGTACGCGGGGAGGTTGAGGGAAAACTCCGCTATGGTCGAGCATCATTTCCACGATATTAACAAAACCATTCCTAGCTGCTTCCATCACACAAGTAACGCCATCCTGTATTTGCAGAAATCAATGAAAAATCGATGGAGAGGGAAATTTTACCTTAATCATTCAGAAGTTTTCCTACCTTCAGTTCGATATTAGGATCAGCACCGCATTTCAAGAGAAGTTTCACAATGTCCTTATGACCAGCAGAACACGCTAAAGATAGCGCTGTTGCGTCTCCATTCGAAGATCTATAGTTGACCTAAAAAACATAATTATACCGTGATCTACCGGTAGAAGAAAAGAAACATCAAGGCACTGTTCAATGTATGCGAGCCCGAACGCTCGGGCGAAATGACGGCGAATTCGGCGAAAAGAGCTGGACACGTATTGATTTTTCTGACTCCGCCCAAGACAAAACGGTGCTGAGAGTGCGTTTATACTCTGCGTCAACATTTTGAGCGACCAGTAAAGTACAGGTATCGACTCAGCGTTTTGAGCGTTTTGCGGGCAGTTTTGAACTTTTCGCGGGCACTAGCTGACTATCTATAAAGTCAACCAAACATTTCGCCAAGACGAAACGCCGATTCATTCATTGATACGTCTCGAAATCTTTTCGAGGAAGCGTTTCTATCTACGATTCGTCGGGATTGCAGACTGTGAACAATGCCTAATAGAGGAACGTACATCTGCCCCTTTTGCCACTAGAAACTCCACGATTTCAAGGAAACCGTTCTTTGCCGCCTTCATCAAAGCAGTGCGCCCGTCATAATCGAAATTCTGAACGTGAAAATTCAAAATCAGTAGTGAGTGAAGTTCCTCAGAAACTGGTGAGAAAGCAAATGCCTACCAGATCAGCCCCGTTCGAATATAAAACCTGCAGTACATCAAAATGCCCATTCTCCGAAGCTAATGACAACGCCTGGTCCATTTGTTGACGAAATTTCACAGAGCGATCCTCCTAAAAGAATGCAGAGCTCGTAAAATAAAAATGATTGAATGTGTAAAAACAATGTGAAACTCCAAAATTTTTCGTAAAAATTTCGTAAAAAAAATGATTGAGTATTTCGTTCCAAACGCACTGGTTTCACTGTCGCAAGAATGTAATTGACGGTGGATGCATGTCCTTCTTGTGCTGCTTCCATGAGTGGTGTGTTCGTGCCTAATCCCAGGTCACCTCCGTTCTTTACCAAAACGTCCAAGACCTCACTGAAAGCAAAAAGAACATCAGTTGAGCCGTCAACTCGGAAAGAAAAGTGGGCACTTGATCGCACTACCGCAAACCACAGTAACGCGCTCAGAACCAAAAACTTCTTCTATTGAAAAAGCAAAGTTCATGCATCAAAAGCGAAGATAGTCATCGGAGAAACCCGTGTAGTTTGACAGGACTATCGTAATATGCCGCGTTGGTGAGCGTGACGAGCGACGTCGCTGCCAGTATACGAGTTGTCTCACCTAGCCGTTCAAATTTAACGTTTGAAGGGATGGCAAAAGTGAGTATCGCCCGTCGCCCGCTCAAAGACTGGCAAGAACCCCGCAATAACAATGCTATATAATTTTCACTTTGTACTCCTCACATCCCAGGTTTTGTAAAACCTTTGTGAATATCGCTTGGGCAATGCGAACGCTGTGACCCAAAGGACTAAACTCATTATACTCCAGTTCGCTGCGGACGGTTGGGCGTGCAGGCAGTGTGAGTAAGCGCGCATGCAACAACCAGAGGTAGAAAACGAGTAATACGAACGATATTATGCAATCATGTCTTTTGCTCGCTTTAACAAACTGGGAAACGGGTTTGGCACCGCACCGAACTCATCCCGCCTGACAAGCCCAACCGTCCGCAGCGAACTGTACTGTAACTTACGTGAATCCACCACAAGCTGCGACTGTAAGCGCTGTTTCCATAGTCTCATCAGTAGTTGCGTTCACTTGAGCACCGTTTTCAAGCAGTATCTTCACCACATGCTGAAAGTAGTCGAGAACATTTTATTTACAAAGAAAAAAAACTCAACAAATATGAGACAGAAAAAATTTTGAGAGAAGAAACATTGAAGAAGACAACCTTAGGTTTATCCTATTTTCATAAGAGCACACGAAAATTAACATGTCACAAAAATTAGCATGTGTTAACGTGTTAATCAAGCGGGGAACTCACAAAAGTCAATATGGGTGGCCGGCAAAAAAGCGCGGAACAGCAAAAATAAAAGTATAAACTCTCTTTAGTTCCTAGTCAGCGGTAGGAATGATGGCGGATCAAGCCTGGGAAAAGGACCAAATATCTAGGGAAGCGATCATGTCCTATGTTTTGAGAGCACCGAGAAATCCGTAAAATGAACAATATGCATAACATTGGAAGGGGAGTAAGAAAATCGTCCATGGGAGCGCTGGTAGGCGCGCCGCGACGTCGCACTTGTAACTGTATAGTTATCGTGTGTAGTACTCACTCTGAATTTTCAATGCAACAATCAATGCAACAACCATCTGCAGAGATAAGCCAGACGCGATGTGTGATTTCTTGAGCTACTGCTCATCTCTGGGCACGGCAGGCGGAACTGATTAGACCGCCGCGCGTCATTTTGGGCCTCCAAAAGTCGCGCACGGACGACTGTCTCAGTATGCACCCCTGCTTTGACCCCGCCCTGGTGAGAAGTGAGGAATCGCGCAGTCCACGAAAATACTAAACTTGCTTGCTGCGGACTTTAAGGCGCGTAAAGGAGGGTATCTTTCTCGTGGCGGTTTCCATCAAATTTTGAAGCAACCGAGGGATAGTAATTGATGGAAAACAAGCTGGCACTGCGCCACCCAGTCCCCTTCCCCTGACACGCTCCACCATCCGCGAACAGGATTATTAATGTCTGATTATTCATCATTCGATTCATCGAATTTTTCTTTGTCTATATATCAATAGGAAGCCGTCAATTCACACGTATCCAAACCATCTGACGAATTCTCTCATTTCTCAAACTCCCAATATGGCGCATGAATGGGAACTAATTCAGGACGTCGAAGTGATAATGAAGGAAAGAGACATTATTTAGGTTCTGCTTTCACGTCTTTCCTAGGTTACCGTTTCTCTACTGTGATTCGGACTAAGCAATTAAAGGCACAGTCCGCACTGTTTGCGTGGGCGGGGCAAGTGAACATGTGAACACTTGTCTGAGAGTCAGCGTAACTCTGCCCCACCACCACCCTGCTATTAAAAAATGCGCCAAATTGGTTACGTGCTATATTTGACAAAATGAACCTTTTAAACGAGGTGGCTGAATTCGAAACAGCCTAATTTCGATATTTGCTGGTATACAACTCCATATCCGAACTGGGAGGGCGTGCTAGCATTCGTCTAGAGACCGACAGCAACCATGCTTTAGTGGAATTTAGGAATTGTAACTTGTCTTGGTCTGCACAAATAAAATGGCTTTCAAAGAAAATATCTGTCGAAAACGCATCTCACACACAAAATCAAAACAAAGACCAGCCACACCTCCCAATTATCCAGGTAGGGGAATACCGCGTAAATAGCAAAAACCAGATTCGCACCCTTAGCCCCACTGAGTTAGTTTCTAATGATTTCGCCATGGAAGGAACAATAATAAGCAGAAATATGCAACAACTCACCCAAATCCTCTCTCTCCGCTTCCATTAACGGTGTAGTTCCCATCATTATTACATCAATAATCGCTCCATCAATCGATCAGTAACTAGCCTATAAAGGGGGTTTAAACTGACGAGCCAGAATGAGTAATATAGTCAGAATACCTACCAATTCAGCGTGACCACCACAGCATGACAACGTTAGAGGGCTTTCATACGACTCGCTTGTCAAGTTCACAGGAGCACCAGCTTGTATCAGAATACGTGCGACCTGAATTCACGGATAGCTCAGTTACACACATACTCTGAAGACTCGTCAGGGCGCAGTTAGGAGAGTGGGCGAAGGGGCATTTTGTACTTCCACTTGGCGTGTAAAGCTATCAAGTAGAAATTTGTGAAATTCTTGTGAAACCATGAGGTAAATGTTCACCAGTCAAACAAAGTTTCGAAATTCCCCCACCCCCTCCCCAAGCGGAACTGCGCCAAAATGTCTACGTATTTAAAACTCAATAATTCAGAAAGAAGTCAAGCTAAAGAAAAGATGTCCCAAAAACTGCACGATATATCAAGGGAATTTTTTCAAAAAAAATTGATTTTGTTATACCTCAAGATGTCCGTCCATAGCTGCTTCCATAAGAGCTGTGTGGAGTTCTTCATCACGAGTTGAGCGATCGTAATCATTCAACGACAGGAGGTATTCTATCACATCTGTATAGCCCTTATACGCAGCCAAGGTGAGTGGAGATTCCTAAAATCAAGCCATTCTAGTTTTACAAAAATCTCTGCGAAGCGACGTATTTAAAAAAACTGAAAATTTGGATTAGATGCTTACCTTGAATTCGCTATTCATATTCACGAAAACGGCCTTTGCACCAGATTGAATGAGAAGTTTCACGATGTTTAGGTGTCCTAAACATACAAATGCTAAAAATGATAGTCTTTGCCTCGATCAATCCCTCTTTGAGATGCGCCATGCGTTTCATTTCCACTCAGAATCGTAGCGGCTCACTCAATGCAGTGTGGCCTTCACAATGACGTGCGAGGGCCAGTAGGTGTACAGGTAAGTGTTACCAACCTCCCAGACAAATTTGATCCATGATCGACCAAGATCGAGTAGGATATGAAGGTTGCATGTAACCAGGGCACGTCGTATGTTGGGGATCCCAGGGGGTCGTATTGGCCTCCCAGAAATCATTTTCATTTGCTGACTTTTCTTTGTCGATTTATGTGTCTTTACATCCCCTTCTGCTAGTTTTTCGAGAGAAGGAGGAGAAAAAAGTGACCGAAAATGGTAGGAAGTTGGGAAATTTTAGGAAGATGGTAGGATGTGGATGGGAAGGGGCTGTATCAAAGGAGGAACTTTTGCGGAGGATCGTAACTTGCAGGAACTTTCCTCAACGAAAGGTTGTGTCCTGTGCGTAACCCTCGCGTGATACTTGATCTTTGGGTGGGGAATACCCGAAGGGGCTTCCGCGGCACAGCTAAGATTAGAGATCTTGTGAAAACTTCCAGATTCCTGTGACCAAAACGGCCCACTCGCGTTATTTCGTAGCTTCACAAGAATATATCTGTTTTTAACATGAACTAACAAAAGGAACAGGTGGAAGTGCAAAATGCCCCTCTAAGTCGGACAGCGCCTAAGACGCGACCTCTGCGGCCAGAGATCAATGTTACCATCAGTACAAGCCCCACCAACGGAGAAACCAGACGAAATTCAACACCGGAAAAAGTTGTGGACTTCGTAAAAAATAAATAGGTGAAATATCACTCCCCCCCTCCCCTCCTCCCGAAAGGACTTACATCTATGATATGCCATGAACAAAGCTTATTATACCAACCTGCACTTGCAGCTTCCATCAAAGCACAATGTCCATTTTCATTGCGTAAGTCCAAATTACACTTGTAATCGATGAGCATTCGTACAACCTACACACAGAAGACACTGCTTAGTATAACACACGTCCCAGCATATGGGGTTTCAAGTCACACTTTATAAAACTCACCTTTTCTTGTCCGGCAGCAGCAGCGTAGATCAAAGGAGTGTTTTGAGTGAT